ACATCACCTAGTCCATCTCCGTAGGTTTTTTTGTATATTGGTAATCGAGAATTTACTGCCCTAGCCATGGTATATTTACGTTGAGTGTTATGTACGATCATTCTATTATAATAAGCAGCTCGTTTTCACCGATGAGGATTCCTATATCAGCAGGAATGATATTGGGGCAAGTAATAAGGCCACTTCCTAGGGAGCATCTTAAAATTCTTCTTCCTCTTCAATTGGTTTCGGTGGTGTTCCTTTTCACTTGGTTTTGATTGTGTTTTGTTGATTATGGATAATCACGAAGAGATTGCTCAAATGGATTTAGTTCTTTTTGTCATTATTTGGGAGGTTTTTGTTTCTTTTGTCCTTCACTTTGTTTTTTCTCCTCTATTCTTGATTGATTAAATTAATTTCCTCACTATAATCCTGATATAATGGATCATCAGCTATATCTTCTTCATCATCCATAAGTATACGATATAATGACTTTTCCCATAGTTCACGGTTTTTAATATCTTTATCGTGTTCAGGTTTCATTTATTTACCTCTATGACTAAAACCATCCACAGCAAATTTAGCTAACTGTTGTATGTTTTTAATATCGTTCTTAATTACTTTAATAGCATCTTCATTAAATTTATTTAACAGTTCAACATTACCTGAAGGACCTACTGATTTTGATTCAGGGGCTGGTGATTCAGCAACTTCTTCTGTCTGGTCTACATCCTCGAAGAATGGCATGGCAGAAGCTATATCAGCTGGAAGTTTTAAAAGAATCTATTTTGTCTGTTTTGTTCCTTCTGCTGTTTTCCAGTTGCTTCATTGTTTTTTTTTTATAATGCAGGAAGATCACCTTTAGTGGTCTCAGTGAGAGGTTTAAATACAACCTGAGACTCCTCACGAGATTGTATATGCTGTTTAACTAAATCACGAACAGGTAAATATTTACTAATTGCCTCTAGTCGCTCTCAAGCTAATCTAGTTGAACGTAGTTCTCCAATTTTCATTTATTAATAATAATATATATACTGGCTGTTTAATTAATATCAGCAGGGAGGGTGAACGACAATATTTGGGTGACCAGACAGGTAAACGAAATCGCATAAAATTTGAAGAAAAAAGTCAATATTGCTTTAACACAAGTGATCTAGCTTAACTTTTTTTAATTTTTCTGGTTCTTAACAATTTTGGAAATAGACAAGTTAAAAGCGTTGGATTAACGTTATTGACATTTTTAGCCTTCGTAGGAACATTTATTTTTGCTTACGGGTTCGAGCAAAAAGTTGTAGGGCTCACCCTCCCTGCTGACACAAGCAATTCTCTCCATCTTTCTCTGTTCTTTACTGGCCTTTGGAAATCTCCAAATCACATGCCTGTCCACTCTTTTTTGTTGTCTTCTCACCTCGTTTCTTGTCCGCTTCTTCGTCTGCACTCATGCACTGTGCCTTGTCAAATTGCTTTTGCCAGTCCAGATGATCTTGAGTCATGCACAGCAAGCTAGTTGAAATGCCCTTTCGTTGGGCACACACGTACAGGAAGCTAGATCATATTCACTTTGGTTAGGCATACACGTATGCACAGAAAGATATTTGATATTAACTATCTTTGCACAAGTAGCTAGCTGATAGGCCCTTTCGTATATATATATATATATATATATATATATATATATATATATATATATATATATATATATATATATATATATATATATATATATATATATATATATATTTATATTATAATTATTTACTAGGTCGTCTTGCGAGTGTCTGCTACGCACGAGCTTATAAAAAAACCTATTCAGTGCCATCATTTTTAGGTGATGCGTGCTTAGTCGTGACTGTATAAAGGCTGGTGCATGCAGGCAAAGAGATTTATTCGCGGACCTGGGTTCGAAACTTGGTAGAGTACGAATTTAATTTCTCTAACCTGTATGATAGTATTGTTTGTATTAAACTATTATTTCTGCCCACTATTATCAGGATTCTACTATCAAGGGAGAGCACTGTCTGGTATATATTTATAATTCTTTATATATATATATATATATATATATATATATATATATATATATATATATATATATATATATATATATATACATAGTCACTTGCTATTGATTAGCTGATTGCTTGTGGAAGAAATTTTCTAACAATTTTTCATTTTTATATGACATGCTTGGATATTATACAGAAGCTTGATCAAAGGCATCAAATAATTAGACCTGGTATTCTTACACTTAGCTACAAACTCGGCAAGAAAAATGCACTACACAAGATGAAGCCGGGCTGGGATTGGACTGAGTTAAGACATGTAACACGGGTGAATGAGTTTAACGACACCCTGTTGAAAGCTAAAATATAATGACTCGTCCGGGTATTACGTGGTACAATATAATGACTCCAAATTAGAATATGCTAACTTCACTTAATTGGTTTATCCATGAGATTAACTTTGCTGAGTTTATCGTCGGTCTATCGTGGGTATTTCCGTGAGATTAACCGTAGGATGTCTCCCTTGCATTAAAGGGTATCGGATAGCCTTTATTTCTGATGTACGTAAATTTATATCATGCTCTATTAAACTTGTTTGACATGGTCTGGATGAAAACATGTATGGGTACCACTTTAAAATGTTCGCGATTTGCTGACGTTTACTTTCTTATAACTTTGGACAGACGTTCACGTTGACTCCCTCTTTTTTTACCTCTGATGGAACGCTTTAAGGGAATTCATATGCTTGGAAGTTCTTTAAATTAGTTATCCTTCTCGTCTTGATGTCTGCCGTACATACTACGTTCTATATCTCTGTTTCTACCGTTTCCACTTCCTCTCTACATATCGTTTTAATATACTTGCACGAAATATTCTTAACCTAAACCCATGCCTACTCTTAAAGGACATTTAGTCCTTAACCTGCATGACCTCGTAAGGCCCTTTTCATGGGACCAATAGCTTGTTCCTACTAATAGGGAAAGGCACCAAGATTTGGTCACATATTTTCAAATTTCCTACTTCGTATTCCGTGGCTATAATATTTCCTTTTATTTAAGATCAACGTTCTCGAGCATGTCATGTGCCATCCGACACGTTCTCTTTAATATTTCGAATAAGTCGATGGCTTATTTGTAGGTCGATTTTCATTTCTCATATGTGACATTAGCCAACCATAGTTCGATCAGAATCAGCATTGGACCACGTATAGTTCTACGTATCACAACTTTTGTGGTACCCAGATATACTATTAGTCCCAATCTCGTGCTCTCTTAGGGCACATCCGGCGTAGTATTTGTTGTAACATCTGGTCAATTTTCGCGACTAAGTCAATACCCATGAGGATTTACAGTTTTGTGCTCAAGTGTTTCATCGAGAGTAACTTTGTAATTCATGTCCTAAGTTCAGAAGTAAATTGGGCCCACAATCCTTGAAAACACCATCATACAACAAGAACCTCGGCTAGACATTTGGTTTCAGTCGGTGATAATCCTCTGACTCCTGGGTATCCATTTGCGTAATCGGCTTTTCTAGTCTGTAATAGCAAATATGGGTCTCAAAATATTGGTAGAAACCCTTAGGAACGGGATATCTATTTAGGGTCTGATTATCCCTCTCTTAATCTGGCACACATTGCACGTACGATCAACATAATCATGCTAGGCTACTATTCGTGCCAGGACAATACAATCTTTACTTTTTCATTGTTTCCGTTAATTTATTCCAAAACTACGCGACCTAAGATACTCGTCTCAATAACAGGGGCTAAATTTCTGTGGGACAACGAGTGAGAAGAATTTTCTACCATCTGACAAGTAAATTCCAAATACTTTAATCATCTTTTAGTGCGAAAGAATGTATGTTTCGCCGTATGTTTCTTGATGCCGGTCACAGTTTTCTTTGGTGTCTCGCTCAAGGACATGCCATGCTCTTGTTCACGTATGAATGCATCAAGCTAGATATCGGTCACGTGTTCTGGAGGACCTAAGGTACTAATAATATGGAAGAATAAGAACCAATCCAGAAATGGATTAACATAAAATTGAGCATGAAGTGTATATGTGTTTGTCTGGCCAGGATTGGTCAAAAATGAAAGGAAAATTTTTACAAAAAAATATTTTGACAGTTTATCCCAATTGTTACTGCAAACACTTGAGTCAATATCTTATTTATAGAATTTCAGTACTTTTTCAAGCCTGTGTGTCGAAGATCACTTTTAAATTAGCATCAGACATTTTGGTAGTTCTTGTACTTTTTCTTCCCTATTGCTGTTTTCAAACTATTGGTTCTAACTTCGTTGTTTATCCTTTTTAAGTTCCCTTCCTCTAATTATGTTATCTGCTCATTTCTCTTCTTTATGCTACCCTTTCTAACTTCATTCTTTCCTTCTCTATCAGATTTATAATTTATATCTTTTTTTTCCTTAAATTCTAGGAGTGATGTCCAAAGTCACTGCTCTGCCTACTCCACTCCTGGCAAGACTAACAGGATGAAGTTGTGTTCCTTCCAACTAGAAGAAGAATAAAAATCTCCGTACCCCGCAGGCTCCTTGGTTCAGAACCTATCAACCCTTACACTGCATAAACTAGTCTTGTTATTCAAACCAACGTTGTGATGAATACCTATATCCAGGTTACACAAAAAAGCAGAGATCGACGGCAACGCGCAAGTAGTTAAAACTACGATGACTTGGTCATGCCATTTAGAAAACTCGGAAACATGTTACGCATAAGCGAACGCAAATTGACTTCGTTACGCATTACATTCTTTCATAGAAACGACGGTATGAGCATATTGTTATACAACATTCGTACATGTATTTGTCTCTTTCAAGAATAAACGTACCGGATTATGACAACGTGAGCATTACCTATCATTTAAAGCATGGAAAATTTTATTGAATTCAATTTATTTGTCCAGTTATAAAAATGGCAAACGTGAAATAAACTCTAATATATCCAATAATGTGTATTTATTAATATAGGTCTGTCTTTCTACTTTACTAATAAATTCCGAACCGCTCAGGTGTCTTAGTGGTTAGATCGTCCCCCTCGGATGCGGGAGGTCGTGGGTTCGATCCCCGATCTAAAGACTTACAAAAATGGTACTAACAGCTTCCTCGCTTGACGCTCAGCATTAAGATGTTGGTGTTAGGACTGGTCGGCCTGGTGTCAGGATAATGTGACTGGGTGGGACATTATGCAACATGTATGTGGTACTATGCCCCAGACATTCCTATAAACTGCCACACTGCAGATATCGTAGCTATATGACTGAACAATTGTTAAAGCTACGTTAAACATCATAATCACATCACATAATAAATTCCGAAATAGGAAATATACTAAGCAATTTTATCTCATTGAGAGGATAGCTAGAAAGAATAAAGGTTTCATTTTCACATTTCTCTACAGCTATAGATTGCACACATAAGCTGGAAAGCGTTTTGACAAGGCTCGCCTTATTTTTGAAAATAATTTCTAAGATCATTGTCAAATACACGGCCAACGAACTCAAATTGCTCTGGTTCCACACTACCGACAGGTTGTGTATGCAAGCGTTGGTGTACAAGTATCAACGTTCCTATTCTAAATCGTAATAATAAAATTAGAACACGCCTGGGTAAAGCTATGTACAACAGCGAAATCCATCTACATTCATTTTCATATATAATGTATATGCATTTTTTGTATACACAGTTCCATAAAAAACGCAGTAAACAAGTATTTTTTCTGAAAAAGAGGGAACTACATTTTTAATGTTTGCTAGATGTTAAGCGATTATGGTAATCACATATAATTCCGTGATAGTTGATTCTTAAAGGGCTTACAATGTATGGGTGATTTTGTTGTAATGGTTACTAATAAATCCAGGCAGATACTTTACCTATGTGAGCATTCTCTTAATGTTCACAGAACTGAATTAGGTATTGTTTTAAGCATTTAGTATCATGGTGTCATAACCCAGCCTGCACACGACGAATTGCAGTTGCAGATGGTCCCATCATTAAAAGTATGATAATTTCATACTTAAACTTTAAACTGCTTTAAACTAGTGTACAAAACATATAGCTGTAATGTACAGAGAACTATTTCGTTGTTAATCAACATAGCTTTTTAAATGTCTTTTTAATTTAGTCATCACTTTTTTTTGATAAAAATGTAGCTACTAATTGTTTGATTGTACAACGATTTGTAACCACTAGTACCAAAATTAAATTTGAAATATAAATATCAATAACTACTAGAAAAATCAACAGAAAAACAAGAGGAAATCTTTTTTATTTAGGATATTGCTTTAGTGGCAAGTGAATCAAAACATCACAGAATCTAACAAAGTTCTCTAATTCTACTTTAACCCACTATTACAACTAGACAAAGAACCAAGAAATGTGCTCCAAGATGTTATCAGTGCAAATTGAGAGGATTATTCTAGTGTAGATGTTACCCGTGCAAATTGAGAGGATTATTCCAGTGTAGATGTTACCCGTGCAAATTGAATGATTATTCCAGTGTAGATTTTACCCGTACAAATTGAGTAGATTATTCCAGTGAAGATGTTACCCGTGTAAATTGAGCAGATTATTCCAGTGTAGATGTTACCCGAGTAAATAGAGTAGATTATTCCAGTGTAGATGTTACCCGAGTAAATTGAGTAGATTATTCCAGTGTAGATGTTACCGGTGTAAGTTGAGCAGATTATTCCAGTGTAGATGTTACCCGTGCAAATTGAGTAGATTTTTCCAGTGAAGATGTTACCAGTGCAAATTGAGTAGATTATTCCAGTGTAGATTTTACCCGTACAAATTGAGTAGATTATTCCAGTGAAGATTTTACCCGTACAAATTGAGTAGATTATTCCAGTGAAGATGTTACCCGTGTAAATTGAGCAGATTATTCCAGTGTAGATGTTACCCGAGTAAATAGAGTAGATTATTCCAGTGTAGATGTTACCCGAGTAAATTGAGTAGATTATTCCAGTGTAGATGTTACCGGTGTAAGTTGAGCAGATTATTCCAGTGTAGATGTTACCCGTGCAAATTGAGTAGATTTTTCCAGTGAAGATGTTACCAGTGCAAATTGAGTAGATTATTCCAGTGTAGATTTTACCCGTACAAATTGAGTAGATTATTCCAGTGAAGATGTTACCCGTGTAAATTGAGCAGATTTTTCCAGTGTAGATGTTACCCGTGCAAATTGAGTAGATTTTTCCAGTGAAGATGTTACCAGTGCAAATTGAGTAGATTATTCCAGTGTAGATGTTACCCGTGCAAATGAGAAAATTATTCCAGTGAAGATGTTATCCGTACAAATTGAGTAGATTATTCCAGTGTAGATGTTACCCATGCAAATTGAGATTATTCCAGTGTAGATGTTACCCGTGCAAATTGAGTAGATTATTCCAGTGTAGATGTTACCAGTGCAAATTGAGTAGATATTCCAGTGAAGATGTTACCCGTGCAAACTGAGTAGATATTCCAGAGAAATTATTGAAGTGTAGAATACACCTTGGCTAGAATCAAAAGATTAGTTCAAGAGTTACAATGTACATGCCACAAACACATTAATAAAAACATTTTATGTTAATAAAGGAGTGTATTACACATACTATTTTAGATATGTTTACTGAAATAATTTATTTTTTCCTATTGGTCCTGACACTCAATAGGACCTTATTATAAACAGCTAAGCACGTGACCATTACTCTGTACCAGTCTTCACATGTTATCTAGACAAGGCTAACCCACGTCTAGTTTTAACAAACATCATTCCATATCCATATTCCATAACAAACACCATTCTGTATCTTATCTAGACAAGGCTAACTCACATTTAGTCTTAACAAACATCATTTCATATCTTATCTAGACAAGGCTATCCCACGTCTAGTCTTATCAAACACCATGAAATATATTATCTAGACAAGGCTAACTCACTTTTAGTCTTAACAATCACCATACCATATCTTATCTAGACAAGGCTAACCCACGTCTAGTTTTAACAAACACCATTCCATATCCATATTCCATAACAAACACCATACCATATCTTATATATGCAAGGCTAATTCACATTTAGTCTTAACAAACACCATACCATATCTTATCTAGACAAGGCTAACTCACATATAGTCTTAACAAACACCATTCCATATCTTATCTAGACAAGGCTAACTCACATTAACAAACATCATTCCATATCCATATTCCATCACAAACATCATTCCATATCTTATCTAGACAAGGCTAACCAACGTCTAGTCTTAACAAACATCATACCATATTTTATCTAGACAAGGCTAACCCAAGTACAGTCTCAACTACTTCTGAAAACAAATAATGTTTTAAAAATAAACTTGGGTTCTTAGTCTAGAATATTGTTTAGGTAAGACCACACCTTATCTATTTGTCATGTCCTCCATTAAACTGGTAAGTAATAATGGTCATTTACGACCGATACGCTTGACTGCTTTCAGCAATACATTTACCGATCGAAATGTCATCATACAAAGTGTAAATTAATATATATTCGGGAAGCCAATATAAGATATGAATTATTCAATCCTGTCAATTTGTTGGGTTTTTTTTCTTGAGCATATTTATCACTTAACTTAAATGATTTTTCATTATTTGAATGGCATTGTTGTGTTACCTAGCTGAATGTTACGTCACAATGTCGTTTGATATTGATGATTCTGGAACTTGCATTGGATCTTGATCTGAGAAAAATATTTCAGTGCTGAAATGAAAAACATTAATTTTACCTACAATAAAAATTTTGCTTGAATTTTATTATTCACTTGAAGAGAATGATAAAAAGCACTTATTCTTCATGATGAAATAAATCCATCAGCGTCTGTAGAGATTAGCACAGACATAGCTGCTGACGTATAATGCACACAAGATGTAATAACAGTGCTTGACTTGAATACTGCACGCAGAATGTAATAGTAGTGCTAACGTGTATACTGCACGCTGGATGTAATGACAGTGCTGACTTGTATGCACGCAAAATGTAATAACAGTGTTGACATGTATGCACGCAGGATGCAATGACAGTGCTGACTTGTATGCACGCAAAATATAATAACAGTGCTGACATGTATGCACGCAGGATGCAATGACAGTGCTGACTTGTATGCACGCAAAATATAATAACAGTGCTGACATGTATGCACGCAGGATGCAATGACAGTGCTGACTTGTATGCATGCAAGATGTAATAACAATGCTTACTTGTATACTGTGTGCAGGATGTAATAACAGCGCTGGCACATAAGGAAGAACATAAGAATGATGACTTCTGGCACGTAAGGAAGAACACGAGAAGGACAGTTCTGGCACTTAAAGAAGAGCATGAAAATGATGACAGTGTGGGTAGATAAGAAAGAACATGAGAATGATGACTTATGGCAGATAAAGAAAAACATGAGAATGATAAAATAAATGATAAAATAATAAACTGATATTGGATTTGGTGAAAATAAAATAAATCGAAGCATATACATCATTGGTAATGAGAGGTTTAGTCCACGCTGTGGCGTAATTTCAAGATCCAAGGCGTTAATTGTGGTCTTAGGTAAGTATAACATTATGACTTTTTAATATAATGCTTAGTTATAATTTATCTACTTATTAATATGAAAACTAGGTATAACCTATTGATTTGTTGTATGATACGTAGGTATAAGCTATTGACATGTCAATATGATACATAGGTATGTATGACATACTGACTTGTTAAAGATAGGCATAAACTGTTGACTTGTTAATATGTTGTTGTTATTGTTGTTGTTTTGTTGTTGTTGTAGGGTTTAAAGCCATTTTTCAGACCAAGATAGGTATGATACATTGGTATGTATGACACATTGACTTGTTAATGGTATATATAAGCTGTTGACTTGTTACTATGTTGTTGTTGTTGTTGTTGTTGTATGGTTTAACATCATTGTTCAGCACTAGATAGGCTATACATGGCGGCCAGTATTAATCGTGGCGGTAGAACCCCGGAAAAACCCCGGGAAGAATCACCTACCCACAGAAAGCTACTGGCAGGCTTTCTCACTTACCCACGTTAGCCGAGTCTTGTTAATAT